AAAAAAAAAAAAAATCTGGTTAAGGGCGCCTGGGTGGCTCAGTCGTTAAGCGACTGCCTTCGGCTCAGGTCATGATCCCAGGGTCCCGGGATCGAGTCCCGCATAGGGCTCCCTGCTCGGTGGGAGGCCTGCTTCTCCCTCTCCCACTCCCCCTGCTGGTGTTCCCTCTCTCGCTGTGTCTTTCTCTGTCAAATAAATAAATAAAATCTTTAAAAAAAAAAACAACAAATATTTCATAAGCTGCTCCACCCTTATTACATACACACACACTTACTTAAAATTTGGGGAGCGATAAATTGATCACTAGAAGATAAAATTCCATTGAAATAATTCGTGATTTTTTTTTTAAGAGAAAGAGGTATAGTCCAAATATCTCTGAGCCCAAACAGCTCGTCCACTCCCACCAGCTTCACATCCCAAAGGCAACCAATATTAAAAGTAACAACAATCCTTGAATACTCCTTGGGGATATAGCCCCTTTGGGTATATTATAACACTCCAAATGGCCAGTGAGACAAATAATTAGAAAACAGCATATCCAAAGGGAAGATCTGTGACCTACAAAGTTTGTATAAGAAGCCAAAGAGCTGGTAAGAATTACAATTTAAAAACAATAAAAATGAGCCATTCTCTGTATACATTCTTGTGTAAGAGAGGATTCTCTAGGCTGAAATAGAATTTCTGCTTTCAATTCTCCCTCTTGAGCCAAACGTCACCCTGCCCCCCCCAGGTGGTGGGAAGACCAGGCCAGCAGAAAACTGAATGGAAACCCCTCCTTCATGTGCCACCTCTGGCCACCAAGGCCCAGCCCTCCTGTAAGGATAACAAAGCCTTGAAACAAAAGTCAGGAATTAGGGACACGTATTTTTTTCTTATTTCGCTTTTCCTAGTTTTTAGTGTTTCCTTTTTACTTGCAGGTTTGTCTAATTTCTTACTCACAGAAGAAGTCAATATCCTAGAGAGAAAAAAAAAAAAGATTGAACTGAGCACACAAGGGCCAGAAAACAAATATAGTTTCTTTATTTAAAAATTATAGGTCATCAAAGGGAAATCTAGATTTAAAATAAGGTTGAACCCCAAAGAGTATGACATAATTATCACTTTAAGTCAAAAACTACTTAAAATGAAGGTTCTCAAATACACTTTTAATTGGTGGTTATTTGACACATTCAAGCTCAGTGCTCAGAAGCGATGACAAGCAAGTCCCGTTTGTGTGGGTTGGGCAATGTTTTGAAGTTATTTCACGTAGCAGTTAGCTCCAGGAGAATCTCTTCAAAACAACCACCCTGCCAAGTAGCTCAAAGGGAATCTTTTATGTCTCTTCTGGGGCTTGCAAGACCCCAGGGAAAGAATATAATTTCTTTTTCAAACATAAGTAGAATCTATCTACCACAGAAATAAGGCATCCAAAGATTTTTTTTCCAGTGTTTTGATTTGATTAAATACAGGTGCTGATTTTTTCCCAGCCCAAGTGTTTTAGTAAATAAATGTAACCATCAGTTAAGAGTCCATGAGTACTATATTCATTTCTTTCTTTGTGACATGGACTCCTTTCTAGGATAACTTGTATCTAAAAACAAAAGGGGGTGGGTAGAGAAAGTTCGGTAACCTTTCAACACTGAGAGTAGGTGTAAATGCTCTCGCAAACCTCCCTGTCTCAGGGAAGCCTCCGCTACAAGTAGGGGGGTTTGCTCCGGTCGTCTTGTAAGTGACACGATGCATCTTTAACACCTGCCTGCATCAGCCCAGGATCTGGGTCCTTCTCCGGCCCGCTCTGAGACACTTACCGTGGTGGGGACTTCCTTGGTGGCTTCTTGGTACACCTATTGTTCCTCGACCAAGCTGCTGGGGAAATAGCCCAGGGTGCCCATCTCGTCCTCACGGTCATCTCCGTAGACCTGAGTGCCCAGAAGAGTAACAGTCAGGGGGCTGCGGCTGGGAGTCCACTTCTAGAAACCCCCTGGCATCACATTTGCTGTGAATGAGAATTACAGAATTGCAATGACTCCATTTTCCCCTCTGGGTTCCAGGGGCCTCAGATCCAACTTTGAAGCTCACTCACAGCAACTGAGTTAACCCACAGAAAGTGTGTCTCTGTTCTCCTGTGGCCCGGTCTTCCCGGTCTCACTGAGCATTTCTTTATTTTATGCAATCTTGTGAGCCGCCCAAAATCTTTTTGGAACCCATAAACAAAGTCGGTGCGTTTCTAAAAAACGAAATAGATACTTTTATTTTAAAGAACTGGCCCTTCTTGGTTGTTAAATATTCGAGTGCACAGATACTTGAGTGAATTTAGGATTTAATTCTTCATTCCTTGAGAAGGTGTCTGTGGGGTTGCAGATGACGACAGCAAATCAGCCCTGCTTCATCCCTCCCTAGGGCCCACCCCTGCAGGTTTTCACTGAAGAAAGCAGATTCTCTGCAACTGAAGAGGGTGTTGGTTTCCTTTAAAATATTGAAGCAGAGCCTGACTGCCAACACGCATGCCTTTTCCTTGGCAAATCCGTTCAAACATTTTTGAGTAAGTTTCAAACTCTTTAAGATGTTCAAGCCCCCCACGTGGTTGACTAGTTCTTGCCAACACATCACATAAACCTACATGTGGTTTTGTTATGAAATTTTCTTTGTTTCTTCAAAATGCCACAAAAGCAAATGCATGTGATTTTCTGCACTTGCATCTAAACCTCTCCATTATTCTTGAGAGCTCGTTTCAAACACTAAAATGTACTGGAGGTAGGTCAGAAAGAAAAAATTAAGAGCAACCTATGTCAAGATGTGTGTATATTTGCAAGGATCTCATCTTACACTGCCAACCCAAAATTCTCCAGCTCCGTTTTCTTGTACCAGCTTTGAGTAAACGTAAATCTGCTGTCCTTTTTTAACATTAATGAACCTACAGTCCGGGGCATTGTAATCTTCTTGAGCTCTGGAGAGAGAAATAGTATCTGGAAGAAAAGAAACATTGAAATGACTACATTATTTAGTCTCCTGGATTTTCTAACAGTAAAAAGGCCAAACATATCAGAAATAGGAAATCAGAGAGACTAATCACTCCCAGTTTACAGCTCCTGAATGTTCAGTTCAAGACGAGTAATATAGCCAAGGTATGAAAGCTGAAAATCTCAACCAAGTGAATTCTCGGTAGTTAAGACACCGAATGTACAGACCAAGCAGTGCTAGCGACATACTCGTTAGAGAAGATTCACTTAAAGCCCAATTAGATAGTCCTGCTGTTAGTGGATTTTTTTTTCTTTTCCTTTTCCTTTTCCTTTTCCTCTTTCTTTCTTTCTTTCTTTTTTTCTTTCTTCTTTCTTTCTTTCACAGAGTGAGAGCACAAGCAGGGGGAGCGGCAGGCAGAGGGAGAAGCAGGCTCCCCGCTGAGCAGGGAGCCAGACGTGGGGCTCGATCCCAGGACTCTGGGATCACGACCCGAGCCAAAGGCAGCTGCTCAACTGACTGATCCACCCAGGAGCCCCATTTTTTTTCAATTATATAATAGAAAGATAATGAAAGGCATAAAAAAGGGCTCCTGGGTGGCTCAGTTGGTTAAGCAACTGCCTTCCGCTCAGGTCATGATCCTGGAGTCACAGGATCGAATCCCGCATCAGGCTCCCTGCTCGGCAGGGAGTCTGTTTCTCCCTCTGACCCTCCCCGCTCTCATGC